GCTCATATCCGGAACCTGTTGGTTCTGAGTTTGACGCTTTAACTACTGAGCAACCCGTCTTTTGAGCAAATAGGCGACGATAATTTAATCAACTGTTTCTTATGCATATACTACAAATATAAAATAGATATAGGAGAATAACATTCTAGTTAAAAACCGGGTCAGAAGGTTGATACGCCTCAAAAATAACTTTTATGCCACAATGCCTATCCTCAAAACCTAGGAAAATGACTCTTTGATAGACTGACGAAAGAATCAGACAGGGTAGGATGGATGATGTGTCGAAAATGAAAGGAATTCGCACCTTTGCGCACTACTTGAAAGGTCAGGGATTTGAAATCCTATCAAAACCTGTATATTCATTTTGTCATCGCCTGAATGGAATTGCATTCATCAGAGTTTATCGTTGTCACGTGCACAGAGTTGTTTATGAAAACCTCTTCATTTTCACAGTTTATTGTCTCAATGTTAATAATCAAACATGGCAATGCTCAAGACATCTAATTTTACAGATATGACAGATAGGCAGGCAAGTTAACCTCACAAACTAATTTTAAGTAGGTAAAGTAATCAAATATTGAATTAAGATTTAACCTTAAGAAAATTTTTAAAATTGTAAATGTATCGCCACTTTCATTGTCAGCGATTTAAAACTGATCAGACGATTGCTGTTGCTTTTAAATGGAGTTTCTCCTCTGTTACACGTCAAAGTCAGGTGTCGATCAGTGGCGTAGTTTCTCGTCCTCCATCCCTCTCCCGTCCGCGTCAGGTTTGTCGTTTCTCGACGGCCATTCACCGTACGAAAATGTCGTAACTTTGCTTGCAATTATCACAAGTGTCAATCGTCGATGTACTGTTGCAATTACAACCAATTAGTTCGAGCATCGAGTCAACACAGATGAACAATCGTTGCTCGACGTCTCGACGTTCGTGCATTTCCTTGCCTCCATTATGAGGGTGTATTGCAGCCCCGTTGCGATCGAAGTCCATCGCCACTGTTCCCCGCCCTGTCCGACCGAGTTTACGTAAGCGACCGACTTCTCGTCAGTACATCGCTTAAACAACAGCCACGGAGCAATGGAACAACCGTCGGTTTCTGAATTCGGCATCTGCATTTGCCTCGCGAAACTTCTGACCCTCATTTTTATTAGTTAGCTTCAATCTGTGATAAATGATTCCTATGGCCAGATATACATCATGCTGAAAACAGCATAGATATATCATGCATATTCGTGGTATTTCCAATACGATAGAATTCCTCAGAGGCCACTCGTGTGCATACACTATTGTTTCTTGTCTTTTTTAATTTAAAAGGTTTAAGTTATGTCGCCATGACTTGGCTCAACAAAATCACTTGTCAGAATATACGGAAGGAACAATAAAGAAAAACAACGTTATACGGATCTGCTCATTTCTTAGGCGACTTCATCAACGTTCTGAAGATTGGCTGTCACATGGAGATGACAGCGCAGCAGCTCTTGTTC